AGAGCCCCAAACGAGAGGTCACCCAGCAGCTACGGAGCAGAGGCCAGAGGGGGTTGCAGTGGCGTGCCCGCGGGCTCCGCCGGCAGCCAGCTGTGCCAGAGAGTAAACCCTGGAGAAGTTGACAGTCTTTTACATGGGTGACAGAGAGACAGACAACCACTTATCATCACATTGACACATGTTACTGAATTTAGAATGACCAATTAACCTAACACCATTCATGTCTTTGGATTGGAGGATAAAGCAAGAGTATCCAGAGAGGGCATGCAAACTCCACACAGAAAGGCCCCAACTTATATTTGAAACCCAAAACCTATTTCATGTGAGGCAGAAGTACTAATCACCAAAGTACCATGCTGCCCAACATCTGAAGACTTTAGACTGATTAGAAAGATGGAGTTATGTTATCTAATATAAATAAATAAAAAAAGATCTATACATTTGTTTTCATATTTTCACAGAATTACAAAGAATACAGAGAGTCTAGCTGTGGGACTTCATAAAAAGAATAATTTGTGCAATATGTGATTGACCAATTGTAAAGTAAGCAACCTCTGACATCTGTATGAATAAATGCATATAAAATCTTTGCTTGTGTCTTCAGCGCACAGTAACTCAGGTAACATAAAAAACAGAACTTTCTGAGGTGTTTTAAGTATAAAATGCTCCTTTTAAATCCAGCATCTAACTTGTTTTTACTGGCTAAAGCTAACCAAGCAGAAATTGAAATATAATGAAACACAACATTCAATAGAAAATGAATTCGATTATAATTTAAATGAGTGACTGAATGAGGAACATTTAATTTGCTCTTCAAATACGTGGATGCAACCAATGTAAGAGGAAGAGCTCTTGAATCTGTATTCAGAGATAACCAATCAGATCTATTTGAAGGGTGACATAAAGGGCCCACATTTCAATGCCTCCCACAGTCAGTCAAGCACGTAAGTCCATAACACAAGACCTTTACAAGATGATCAGATTATGGTTTGCACTGCTTTTTGTTAATCGAGGATGTAAGTGTTTATGCAAATGTTTTCCACACATGTAAGCTGTTTCCTGTATTGCTTTATCTGACTTTTAGATTTTCGTTTTCTATTTAGCTGCACTTGTTCCAGTAACTACAGCTCAACTTGGGGGACCTGTCACCTTTACATGTGTTCTGCCCAAAACTGAGACCGGCCGAAGAGATATCCACTGGTACCATCAGAGAGCTGGTGACACACTGAAAATTATCTGGACACTGAAAGAATCGGCAACACCTAAGTTTGGACCTGCATTTGATAACTCAAGATGGGAAGCTAATTATGATAAAAATGTCAGCAACCTGACGATTCTGAGAACAAATCATGAGGATGAGGGAATCTATCACTGTGGCTTCACAGAGTGGCTCCAAGATACTACATGGACGGGGACATATTTGTTAGTAAAAGGTAATAATGTGATTTCCTTTCATGCAATTTTAAGATGTTATAAATGCACTTTAGAAATGTTAAGAAATTTATATTTAAGACAACATTTAAGATTTTTCTTTCCCAGTTGGACGTCATCTATTTTTCTCAAATTTCTGTATAAATCCAAATGCATCTAAATATATTCATTGTAATCATTAGACTGAATGTTACAGCTAAAGTTATATTTGAAATATATATATACAAATTTTCTTTGTAGTATCATTTGTTAATGCGGTTTCATATTCCAAAGAAAACACCCAGAGGATATCAAACTATACCGTTGTTCAGGAGAAGACCATCCGTCTAGGAGACTCAGTGACTCTCCAATGTTCAGTTCTCTCCGGCTCAGTTAACAAGACATGTCCAGGGGGTCTCGAGGTATTCTGGTTCAAAGAAGGATCTCATAGATCTCATCCTAGTATTATCTATACTGATGGAAACGGACATCATGAATGTAAGAAAAGATCAGAGACTGAAAAGAGCTGTGCGTATCGCTTCTCTAAGAACATCAGCTCCTCTGATGCTGGGACTTACTACTGTGCTGTGGCCACATGTGGGGAGATATTGTATGGAAAAGGAAGTAAACTGGACATTCAAGGTACCAGTTTCTCTATCAGCTTCTCTTTCTGTCTATTGTTTAGAAAATCAGAAAAATAAGTGATTGTGTAACTTTAATTTTGTCATATATTTATTTTTAATATTGTTCCAGGGTGCAGCGTGTGGTCACAGAGTGCAACTACAGTTATTCTTCTGCTGTGTCCTGTACTGGTTCTGATTGTTATTGCTGTCCTCGCTTACACAATCAAGAAAACCAACAGTGATTATTGCAAAGGTAATTGCAGTTATTCAGAGTTCTAGATGTTATGAATCTTACATTTGCATTAATTACTTATATGTCCTATATTCAAGCTGCTGTCCTGGAGAAAAACGTTGGTGATTTGAAAAGCCAACAGGTAAAGTACTTAATGGTAGAGTGTGTTAGATTTTCAAGTTTTAATGTTTATAATATTTTTGTATTGTATTTTTCCAGAAAAAGGACACATTGATGTTTTCTGCAGTTGTGTTTACGATGATGAAGGCTGACAAATATAAAAGACAGGATGCAGTGAAGCGGCAGCAGATCTACATGGTTGTCAAGGCTTTTGGACTGGATTAGATCTGTTTACCACCCCATCATCCCTTTATGTCATATAACATTGTGGATATTTGCTTAAAGCGAATGAGCTATAATGTGTTGTTGTTCTATACCTCTATCTGTAAAAATGTAACCACATTCATACTGCAACATTTCTAGTGCCGTCTTATGATGAGTTTTTATTTCTTTTTTCTCATTTCATTTAAGTCTATATTGAAACCAGTACTTAAGAAATCAGTGCAAAACAGACATTACTGAAGCTGATTACACCATGACTGAAAAGCCAAAGTAGTTAAAGTGCATACCACATGGATGCTCGCATCATTCCCCTGCTGTCTTCACATTCTGTTAAAAATAAAAAGTGACTGGAAAAGGTGATATGTTTGAATTTATGTCATTAACATCAGGTAAAGTGAAACTAGTGCAAAGTTGTGATGTTATGCTTTTCTTTAACAATATATTCCAACATTTTTCAACAGATTTTGAAAATGAGAATTTTTTTAGCCAGGAGTGCTGGCTTTAATTATTTCTTTGAATTGTTCTTTTTCCAGGGTGAAATGATTGTGCAGCATGGATTTTTAATGACTTTCAAAAGCAAAAATCGGGTGCAGAAATTTTTTTTTTTTTTTAAGATTTAGATGGTAGTCTTTTGAAACTCTCTGCTTTCCTGGCATGGACCCAGTTTTTAAGCATAGTCCTCAGAGGGCGCCAGTGTCCGGCAGCTTCGCCTCTGAGAGTGCGCCCCAGGGTGGCTGTGGCTATGTAAGAAAAGGAAAAGGTTATGACACCAATCAAGTGATTTTACATTTCTTTTAAAGAGCTTGCTTAATTGTTTTGTCCGTAGTTGTGTAGTGTAATTTTTCCTCTGTGACTAAATGTTTTAAAAAAAAAAACCTGAAAAGCTGTCGGTCAGACCTTTTGTGGGCACAAGGGTTTTGGATGATTTTGATACAGCTGATAAAATAAAGGAAGTACAAAATTTTAGTGGCTGTAATTCTTACTGAATAGCATGAAAATTAAAATACATATCAAAAAGTTGCCCTTTTCTCATCACCAGTTAAAATAGACATTTTGTTAACTGGTTTCAAAATGCATCGTGTGTTGAGAAGTTTGGGACAAGAACATGTCCCGCTCCACCTCTGCTATTTGACATTTATGACTTACGTAATTGCTTATGAGGTCGGGATGGTCCTTCTCAATTCCATCATCCAGGATAGTGACCACTACAATGTAGCTGCCATCACCAGTGGGTGAATGACTGGATACGTAAAGTGCTTTGGGGTCCTTAGGGACTAGTAAAGCGCTATATAAATACAGGCCATTCACCACCCCCCACCCGACCCTGTGGCTTGTCACATGTTCCATAATGTTGTGCTGTGGACATTTATGTGCTTTTTTGTGCAGAGGAGTTTTTTTGTTTCCTGTTCTCATGCTGTCCTCCCAGGAGCCCGGCATGAGTAGAAGTCTCATTTTTTACTCTTGTACTTTCCCATTGTAGTGTATATTTCAGTGTGAGATGTCTGTGTTGTGTGTGTAAGGTGGGGGGGTCCTATTTCACTGCAGGACAACCTGCACGTGGCGAATAAAGCCTTGATTGATTGATTCTTAAATATTTTTTGTTTTATTACCTAAATCTTTCTACTGTCTGTACAAATATTTAAGTCTTGAATTTGAGATGCAGCATTTTATTTGCTTTTTGGGTTTTCTGTCACTTTGGCACATATATGAGTAAGAAGCTTTCAGGTCAGTGTGTTTATGTGACACCTCCAGATCGGTGTGTGTTTTGTGACACAGTGAGAGTGGCGCTCTGAAGTAAGCGTAGAGGATAGAGAGTGTGACCACAACCATTACTGGTGCAACTGTATCTTACCGCTTAAGTAACTGACAAGCAGGCTGGGTGGGTTGTCACTGATAATGTAGAGTTTGTAACCGTCCTTTGTAAGGAAAAAGATCAAATGACAAGATTTCGAGTCTTTTAATATTTTGATTAAGTGCAATAAAAAGCAGAAAACGACAGAAATGAAAAATGTCGCAAAGTATTTCAGGCAGACCAGTTTTAGGTTTTTGATACAATAAATCCTACAATTACATAAAATGCAGTCCACTCATTGCCTTTAAAAAAAAAAAATAAATTACCCTCTCTGTTGGTCTTCCAGTTCAATTTGTTGTTGAAGTGGACATTCAGGTGAGGACTCCTCCCTGACATCAGCATCCTGTTCCAGGATGACAAGGGCTTTATAATAGTACTCTTCTCTTTCAAGTTGAACATCAATCCTTTGATTTTATCCCTGTGTAGAATTAGATGATTTCTCTCAAGGCACACCCCAAAATATTCCTCTAATGTTCGGCGTTCATCCACCTGGCTGTCAATTATACAGCACTGCAGGATCGTCTATAGTCTATATCGTCTATATCATCTATATTGTTTTGAAGTATGTAGAAGACAAACAGAAATGGAACCAACACTGAGTTTGTTGACCAATATATATATAAGATAATAAGAGAGTGCAAAATCACACCTTTTTCACAGCTGTTTTGGGTTTTTTTTGTGAAAACATACTAGGGGACAATCCGAGTTACGATTAGCTACGTAACCCTCTCACATATCAATCAATGGCATTCTTCAATCTCATTGTAATCACCTACTTGAATTTGCGAGAGATTAACATTAGACCCACTACCTTCACGTAACCAACAAATATTTCAGCTGCAGCCGCCTGAAATGTTGAAATGCAAATTTTATAGATTTTTGATGGTCGCTGCTCTACATTGTCACCTGTCACTTCCTTTGGAGATGCTCCTTTAATCAGTTTTGGCAATCACAATCTTAGCAGTTGCTACTTATAATGTAAAACTTGGAGCTATACAGCCTTGCATGGAGCAAGCATAACATTATTAGAGCTTGACCTACAAAAGATCTGATCCATCAGCTCTTTTTTTAAATCGCCTAAAAAAGGTTTCCCTAACATTTGGTAAATGTAGTTATTTGTGGGCCATATCACTGGATATCTGACACTTTGCTTTATTTTTTGTTGTAAATGGAACAAAATGTTTAAGTTTGCATGGGAAGATATGTCCATGTGTTTTCTTCCAGTAAGACAATGAAAGTAAGGTGTGATTGGAGAGGACATGCAAACTCCACATAGAAAGGCCTCGGTCTCAATTCAAACCTAGAACCTTCTTGCTGTGAGGTAAAAGCGCTGACTACCACATCACCATGCTGCCAGATAAAGGGACCTATAACTGCTATAAAAATAAATGCATTTGCTTTTTGATAGTGTAGTGCACAATAACTCAGCTAACATAAGAAGCAGCTTTCTAAAACATTTTAGTGGTGTAAAATGGTCTGTTCAAATGCAGAACCTAACCTAGTTTTACTGCCTAAACCTAACCAGACAGGAAGCGAAAATAAAAACATGCACTGAGTCAAAGCAAAGCTTTAAGATGTCCCCAGATAGGACTTGAATCCACTTACATACCTACATTATAACATTCTATTTTTTATTGTTTTGAAGTAGAAAGAAGCTCAAGAAGTCTATTTAGAAAGTCTGAAATGAATTATTGCCAGAACGTAGAAACAAATGACAAATTAATCATTGGAGAACTTGCTGGAAAAACTTTAAAAATGCCTTGTATTATACTTAAAATGAGTAACAAAATGGCTAAGCAACAGATGCTTTACTCCTCAAAGACCTGGATGAAACAAAGTGACAGGAAGTTTGCTTAATTCTGTGATTATGATCTATATATTCTGTGATAACCAATCAGCCAATCAGATCCCTGTAACAGTTTGACATAAAAGGTCCAAGTACCTCCTACAAACACTGAAATACCTACAAGTCCATAACAAAAGACATGTCAAGATGATCATGCTATGGGTTACACTCCTTCTTCTCCATCAAGGATGTAAGTGCTTTTTCTGATTTGGTTCTGAATATATGCTGTTTGCTTGGTGGTTTTCCTGTGTCATTGTGAATTAATGTTTTAGATTTCTGTGTGTTTTCTATGAAATTAGATACACTTGTTCCAGTAACTTCAGTTCAACTTGGAGAAACTGTAACCATCCCATGTCAACTGCCTGTGTAAAGAAGTCCACTGGTACAAGCAGAGTGCCGGGGACACCCTGAAAGTAATTTGGACAATGAGGGAATCTGAAACACCTGAGTTTGCGCCTGAGTTTAATAACTCTAGATTGAAGGTAAATCATAATAAACACTTTAACAACCTGACCATTTTGAAGACAAATCAAGAGGACGAGGGAATCTATCACTGTGGATTCACAGAATGGCGTAAGAATACTGAATGGACCGGGACGTATTTGTTAGTAAAAGGTAACGATGTGCTCTACTTTCATGGGGTTTTGCCACATGCTTCAGTCTGTAAAATTGTACAGTATAAATTATAACAACAGCTTATTAATTGTCAAAAGCATGATCAGAAAACAGTTAATATACTCATACAAATGTATTTTAATTTACATTTAATTTACATTTTATAGACACAGTACATGAATCCTTTACTTTGTGCTTTGTTAACACATTTTTATTAAACAGGAAACACCCAGAGAACGTCAAACTACACTTTTGTTAAGGAGAAAGTCCATCCAGGAGACTCTGTGACTCTTCAGTGTTCAGTCCTCTCCAGCTCTAACAGAAAGACATGTCCAGGAGGTCACA